TTTAAATTGACGAAACTATTTCACTGTTGTGTATCCATAGAGGATCTGTAATTTTTCATGGGAAGGTAACATTTGTCACCATTGAAAATGGGGGGGGGGTATGGTGAAGATTTCTCATTTATTTTGTATTGGATACAATAAGAAACACTGTTCACGTTTAATTTAAGAAAATGGTATACGTACGACTAGTTGTCTTCTCAAACAACCAGAAATCCTTCATTTGCACATTCGGACGACTGTTAAAATTGAGCCCTGCTTTAAGGCATCTAGCCAAACTGCTGGGTTCAGCAATGTAGGTTGGGTTGTTAAGAAGTATCTGGCAAAGGCTTCAAGTGACATTTTGAAAACAGATCAGACAGCCGAAGAGCACACAAGGAAGGTAGTTCAGGGCCATTACGTAGCAAGAAACTTTGCACAGCAGTTGCAATAGAAAGTAGAGAAGGAAGAGTTAGAGTATGGTAGTACATTTGTGTATAAGCCGGTATTTATGGGCAAGACAGACATTGGCGAGTATGGGACTGTAGAAGAATACATACCTGGAGATTTTATCAAGTATATAAATAACAATGGTGACATGTGTGTGGAAGGTAGCACAGTTAGTGAAAAGGCAGAATCCCTTGTTCATTTTAGTTATGAGAAGTCACAGGTCAAAGTAGCTTTGTTAGACATTCAGGGTGCAGGATACATCTTGTATGATCCAGAAACACACTTCTACTCTATAAGTGGCCCATTAGTTAATCAATACCGGCATAAGGATAGTTTTACGGCCCCGACAGCGTGCAGCCTGAGCACCGCTATCACTAGTCTCGTTAAATAGCAGAGATAATCGTATTACCGTGTTCGTAAAGCGCACTATAAGTAAGATGCGCTCCATTTGAATGCATGTATTTGTCAGACGCCGTTTAAAGCGGCCTATTTGTAACTCTGTTTATTCCGCGGCTTATAGGCGACCGCGTTCTACAATTTGTCCCGTGCCGCTATGGCACTAACCGGGCAGTCATTGTTATATACTGTCCCGGCTATGACACTGTGCCACGTATTACGTCCACCACTTGACATTGT